TGAACTGAACTGAACTGAACTGAACTGAACTGAAAACACACCCTTTCCATCAGGGGATATCCCATGACCAACTTCAAAGTACCCTTGTTTGGCAAGATTGTTTTGTCTGTAACAAGGAACTTCATTGGTAGTTGCCACAGGGGTCCTCATGGTGAAGGTTGATAGGATTTGGTTGTGTCCAACTATACTGCATTGGAAGTTGTATAGGTTGATGAGGAGGTCCATGATGATTTTCCTGTCCCCCTCCTTGATCCTTGGGAACAGTCCTTGGATTATCCTCTTCCCCCATTTGGACATCTGTCTCAACAACATGGAGTCCCTGTTGAACAAGATTAGGTTGTGGATATGTGAGCTTTTGATTAGGCTAGTATGCTGGTATTGCATCAATGCAAAAGCTGAATCTACAACAACCTTTGTGCCACTGCACATGTTATACACCTCCTCAATCTTTTGATAGACCCCATGGTCAGCAATGGAACTGTCATGCCAGGCCTCAGGGCAATTGTATACTGCAATCCTAATTCTACCATCCACGGCAAAGGAAAATACACTGTTAACAAAGGTGATCTCCTTCCAGCAGGCATTGTAGAAGGCTCTTTGTTTATACCAGTCCTGTGACTGTTGGTGAATGAAACTCTTGAGACCATCTAATGATTCAAACGCGTTGCTAAATGCCATTATTGTGATGGCAAGGAATACAAAAGATTCTATATATCTCGATCCGAGCAAAGCCAAAGCATCTAATCATTTCTACTCTTCTTTATCCATTTAATTCATTTCAAGCTTCTACTGGTATGCATTGATCTTGTGGGAAAAGAAGGGGCAAGCCGGTCAACGAAGCAGACAGAATAGCTGATTCGATGGAACAGTCATTGATTCGGTGGTCTCCGTCTTGCACAAACGAGAAATGCGCTCTACGGTTTTTTGTGAAATTGGTAGCGCAGAGCAGAAGAAAATTTGATGGAACAGAACAGAACGGAACCATAATTTGCCGCCGAAGAAGAAATCTAGACGCAGCTTTCCTGTTGCAAGTCCCAGCCACAGGTGTAATAGTAAAGTGCAGACAAAATGTACAGGAGTGTACCGCATCCTGGACAGTTCAAAGGAAGAGAAAGAAAGAACAAGTTCCAATGGGAGACGCAGAAAGAACCAGTTCCAATCAAATCTTCGTAGTCCAAATCTCTGGCAAAAATGTGACAATAGATGGTGCTGCGTAGTATGTTTGGTGTGATGGAGTGTAGTGGGTCATGGTGTGGTATGTAAGTCGTTCGTGGGTTCATTTCGATTCGCAACTGTCGTATCAACGCGAAACGCACTTTCGCCGCAATGGCAACCAAAGGAGCAGATTTATGAAAGTGCATACCACTCAACCATTTGCACAGTCCAATCGATTGGTTTTCTCGCAATGCTTACTTTGTTTACTCCACAGTCGAAGACGACGACGACGACGACGACGACGATGCACCGTAAATACTCGCAATGCTCTCGGAGAGGCGGTTATCGAACTCATCGTTAGTCATCCCGTGAGAAAGGCCCTCCGAGAGGGCTCTCGAAAAACTGGCAATGACCCCCCTGTTCTGGGAAAGCCTGGCGTTGGCGTTCGCCTGGTCGTATCCACCCGAAAGGGCGACAACTCGAAGGCAGCACGGGTGGTCCACGCAGTCCTTGTATTGGTCGGGGGTTTCGGGCAGCGTGATCTTGATCATCACCCTGTGATCCTTGTCCTCGGCAAGCAGGTCTCCCAGCTCCCTCAGGAGAGCCCCGCACAAAATTTCTTCGCAGGCACACTTGTCGGCCTTCGTCTGGTGGATGTGGACCTCCGGCTCCACGATGGGCACCAACCCGGCCTCCAGGACGCGGCGGGCAAGATCGAACTGCTGCTTTACGAGGGCATCGATCTGCTCGGGGTGGTTCGGGTCGAGGATGAGGCTCCGAGCTTTGGTCCCGTACACCCCCTTCGAAACTGCCCTCTCCAGGAGGGCTTCGAGGTCGGGAATCGGCTTCAGCATCTGCACGCTCCCCCTCTCGTCCGGATCCTCGAGGCCCTTGTCGATTTTCAGAAAGGGTACGATGCCCTTGGTTTCCCACAGATATTCACAGGTGGGAACTCCGTCGACGGTCCGATCCATGGTGTCCTCAAAGAGAATCGCACCCAATATCGAGTCGCCCCGGAACGACGGGGACACCATGATTCGGGTCCTCATCTGGTGCACCGCATCGAACATGCTGCCAAAATACGAGACAAAACGAAGCAAAGCAACAGGGGAGGGTCGTGAGTGGGTGTTTGCGAGAGGTAAATACGCTGCGCAGAAACCTTGCATGGGTGATACCATGGCAATGGATGGATAGTCTACCGTGTTCCATCGACGAGGTAGGGAGGAAGGAATGAAACACCAAACCCAACCAAATCCCTGCTTCGCTTAGAAACGATTCCAGCCTGTCCATTCGTGCGTTCGCTTGTCTCCGAATCCAATGAACTCCATGATGTGCCGATCTATTGCATTCGCTGAGATGCCTGCGTGGCGTTGCGTTGCGTTCCGTACCTTTCGCTCCCGACCTCGTAGTTCCCTTCGTCCGGGCTCAGTCCATAGGATTCCAGTGCTTTCGGGGTGGATCCACCGCTCTGGTCCAGCGCAGCCAGAAAGGCCCCGCTGACCGTCTTTTCTTTCTTCGCCCCCTGCAGTATTTTATCGTGCATTGCCCGAAAGTTCGACGCTTCCGAGATGGGCGCCGCCGCCCCCATCCGGACGATTGCCAACACAAGCACCACAAAGAGCAGCGACGAAGCGGGCACCCGCGGGAAGAAGCGGGGAGGGGCTCTCGCAGCCGAAGCGGAAGCCGGAGCCAATGCGCTGGGTTTCCTTTTCCGTGCCCCGGCCATCGCCGTCGTGGATCGGATCTCTCCGTCCGTCTTCTTCTGCATCGCTTCCCGGCGTTGCGTATGCATTCCGTTTCGTTTCGTTCCGTCCCGTTCGCTGTGTGTCGGATCTTATGCGGGTGTCTTTTGGCTTGTCCCTCGACGGTCGCACGGCAGCCTATGCGATGAATTGTGTGGAATGCTCCGAGAACGTGGCTCTGTTCGGTGTAACAGTGGCAAGATGCCCTACAGTGTGTTCCACTTTCGTTTGTGTTCTGTCTAATTTATATTTATACGGCAACTAGACAAGTTCCTGGCTCGCTTTTCTTCCTCTTCGTCTTGATGCACCTGGCTGGTCCTTCTGGTGGTGTTCCTCGAATAGGGATGAGTTACGGTCCGATTGTGTCCGTGTCTTATATCGGTTGGTATTCGTACCGCCCTGTACTATTACTATTACTACAGGATTATTTTTGGTGATTACTTTTGACACGCACTGGGTGGTAAGAGCAATGAGCAACAACCGTACCGTACCGTACGAATCTTGTCAACGCCACTACGGTATTACTGCAAAACACAAGGCATTAGTGAAAAGTGAAAAATGAAATACCGTATTTATTTTACTGCTACCTACTGGTACGAACCGGTACGAGTACTGCGCAGACTCTCATCATCATTCAAGAAACGGCGCGATCTTTTTACGGTGCTCGTTTCAAGTTTCAAGATGAAACCAAGAAACAACAGGAGCAATAACTCGTACCTGAACTAGCTATTAGCTCGCGTTCCGCGTGGATCGATGCAATAAGATAGAAGTACTGTACATTACGTACCGGTACTTCGTAAAGTACGAGTACAAGTACCCAAGTACAGTAGGGTACTAGTCCTTTGCTCTGCTGGACTGGATGGTTCGTACGACGCACGTACATTAGCCCTAATCATCGTTCGTTCGAAAGAGAGAAAGATTGATTCTATCATATGCTTAGTATGGTATGTACGTATGAATATATCATACCGATTACCGATAGTACCGAACACGAATCTGGGATTGCACTTAGGCGGGACAGGACTAAATTGAAGGTGTGCAAAACGTTGATCGATCATTTGTATCGCCATACCGTAGGGTACAAGTACACATGTGATCCCATCTTCATTCCAGATTTGTTTGACCGTTACGGAAAGTTTGGGCTTTCGAATGAATCTCCCAGTCTACTTTACTTGTGTATTAGCTTTGGAATGAATCTCCATACAAAATACGTACAATAGATACGAGTACGACGTACGTAACCAATTCGTACGTTCTTTCAATGAGATCTAAAACACCGAATTGTTACTCTGTTCACCCCATCGAACAAAAAGAAGTGTTCCGCTGTTCAGTCGATCAAAAATTCCTCTCAACACGTCGATTCCTTCTTCCAATAGCAATGCAATGTGTAAAACAATAGCTGTTCATTATGTACACCCCAATAAAGAAGCTGAACAAGAGTCTAATAGAAATTTTCTACTTAATGTTTTGACATCGCTAATGCAATTTCGCAGTGTCACCAACGATATGAAAACATAGGTACCGGTACACAAATACTGTAGGGAGTCTATACTATTTGTTCGAACCTATGATTGAATCGATAAAAAAAGTTATGTCGCAATGGTTATTTTATTGAGGTGTTCAACTGCTGCATATGATGGCGCTACTTAAATCCTGCGAATATTCTTCCAAGTGCAATCAAAAAATAAATGTACTTATTCGAAATTGATTGAAGATTGCAGTTTAAGCCATTTTTGAATTTTTAATGGAATCAACTTATCGTACTTCCGCGTTCATAAGCGCCCAGAATGGGATTATAGCTACTGTTTGTGAAGACAACACATTGAACGTGTTCACAATACCTTATATAAGAGCATATAAGGATCCGCTACTGTGTAGAGGCATATAAATGAATCTAAAAGTCAATTAAGTTCCTGTCCCCACTCACTTTTTTTGTAGTTCCGGTAGTTTTGCAAAGAACCTTTTCGATACAAGCCTTGCTATTCCACTATCTACTCGTGATTTACGTGTTACTGGCTCACAGCTATGCTCTGGATTAATAAAATTTCGGATCATATTTTCGAGTCCTTCTCCTGCACAGCCCTCTACCAAAAAACGGCAACGGAGGACGGCAGCACTATTGTTGCTTCGCAAAAACAGTGCGTCCACAAAAATAACATTAAACCTTTTGGAATCTACATCTGATTGCAACGCTTCCACACTTTCCAGTTGTAAACAGTACGGTAAAGTAAGTTGCATACAATGCATGATTATCCAAGTCAAATTAGATCTGGGAGTATGCGTTTGCGGAGATCGAAAAGCATGCTCTTTTGATTATGCCGTCGGAGGAATGTTAAGTTCCGGCATTCTAAAACAACTTCCTGCTGGTGTTTGCTTTTTCGCCAGGTACACAAAATGGGCTTTTCAAAGGTTGCGTCATCTTCAGCTCTGTTGGAGATGGAACAACACGACGATGCTCTCGCAAAGATTGCGAACACGAACACATCGCGACAATTTGAACTATCCGCGACCGACGGAACCGAAATGTCTCATTCCACCCTACAAGCAACCACTATTCCCTCAGTAAACCGTTATGACTTGAACCGGATCAGTGTCATCGGTTCTGGAAAGTTTTGCAATGTCCATTTGGTTTCTGGCCCGTCTTCGTTCCGCTCCGAATCATCGTCATCTTCAGTGTCCTCCGATCAGGACACTGAAAGCAACGACGACCAGAGCCTTCCTGCTCGCTCGCTCTATGCCTTCAAGTCGATCGATCCTGAAAAATTACGCAGTGCCGACGATCTGACCATTGCAACAACCGAGTTGGCCACCGAGGCAAAAATGCTGTCTCAACTCGACCACGAAAACATCATCAAGTTGCGAGGGATTTCTTCTGAATCCTTTTCAAAATCGTATGCCGACGGCGACGGCTACTTTTTGGTGATGGACGTTCTTACGGAGACGCTGAATGATCGAATTCAGCAATGGCGAAGGCAGAAAAAAATGAAGGAACAAGGCCGACAATCCAGCAGGGGTCTGTTTATAAGAGCTCGAAGATCATCTAAAGACTTCCTTCGCAACTCATTTTCAAAAGTTTCGTTTAGATCAGCCCGCCGCTTGAGTTCGGAAGAAAAACCAAGAAAGTCAAAGAGCACTGGCGACTTCAATGATCTACTATCGTCGCAGAGACGTATGTATAGTCGCATTGGGGAAACCGTCCTAGGGATCGCCACAGGGATGGAATACCTCCATTCCCACAATATAGTACTACGTGATCTCAAGCCTGCCAACATCGGTTACGACGACGTCATCGATGGAAGTTGTTACAGCAGCAACGAAGCAAACAAACTCGTGCAAAGCAGGGTCAAGCTTTTCGATTTTGGTATGGCCCAGAAAGTGGAGGAATGCAACCCCGATGAGGTCTGTGGCTCGTTGCGATACATGGCACCGGAAGTAATGGCCGGCAAAGGGTACAGTCTTGCGGTTGATGTCTACTCATTTGGCGTCATTCTATTTGAAATGTGCTCTTTGAAAGTTCCGTTTGCCGATTTCAACGCCGGAAAACGAAAAAATAAGAGGCGAAACATCGGTAACAGAAAACAGGGGGGGGGACAATCAAACCTAAGCCACCCATCGTCGTTGTCTCTCACGCTTGCTGTTGAGAAGAGGAGGATAGCCGATTTTTACAAAGGTATTTCTTTTTACGGCATTACGCAGATGAACGATGACCTCGAAAAACTTATCCCATGCCCCTCCATTCGCAATTTAATCGAAGAATGCTGGGATGCAGATCCGAAAAACAGGCCGTCATTCCAAGAAATCAATCAAAGGCTTTTGGTTATCCTCAATAGAGAAGATGCTGCTACAGCCAAAACATATTCTTGCGGTGCCTCTTGCGACTATAGAGATAACTCGGTGGTCACAACCGAAAATGAAGTGTATTCGATCTCTGATCATTAAGTTGACCAACAAGCCAGGCCAACAAGACCAAAATGAACGCGTCGCTAAATTCCGATCGAAGGATACATTTCGATTCACGCAACTTTTTCTCTCTCTACAAAGAAGAAACGACGAATGCTACCGTACTACTCTAAATTTTCCGTTCCAACTTTTCAGTCACAATTTTTTCCGGTGCAAAATTTATCGAACAAATTTTCTTTCCTTTGGTCCCTCATGGAGCACTGTGCTACGTTACTGCTGCAAAATAATGCGAACACCCTCACACACGCAGCACAGTATTGGTTTCGGACACGCCCACCGTACATGTTCTTTCCAACTAAATTTTAATATCTTAGACTAATCATTTTGAATATTACATGCCTTAGGATCTTGCCATTGGTATACTTTGACTACTCCTTCCACCCAATTCAAGTAAGCGTACACTGTTGAAAGCAGATAGATCCGGACACAGAATCTTTTCGAATCTCGTGTTGCATCTTTTCGATCGCAGCGCGAGGCAACAAGCAGAGGGGATCACAAAGTACGTCCTCGTAAATCAATTAGCGCCAGATGATGAGTTTCATTTGATGGATGGTTCGAGCGTGATGAGGTTTGAATAAGTAAAATGAGGGACTTTGAATTACAGTTTCGTGCATCATAATTGCCTGACAAAAAAGCGATGTCACTTTTTCAAACTACCAGAAGAAAACGGAGTTGTGATCATCCTCTCGGAAGCACTTGTATGGCAGGTCAAGAACGGTCTATTATGGTTACGAGTACTAACATTAGTATTAGCGTATAAATAATACTGTACAGTACTTCGTAGTAGCATAAGTACTGTAACGAAATCCCTTCGCGGTTCGAACCAACCGCGAAGAGAATGAGTTCTAAACAAGGGATATCATGCGGTGTTCCTAATTCTCTTTTTTGAAACGTACCGGTACCCATAGAGATTCTCTTTTTGTCTCATTGGAAAACCTATTTCTTTTTTCAATTTCTCTTTTTCCCCGGGTTGCGCCTCTATTCCGTAACGTTCTGGTGTTGCCTTTTCCTACTGTAGAAGTACTCGTACCCTAACGTTCTGGAACAAATACCGGTGCCACAACTTAATAACAGAACTAACCGAGCGGGCTGTGCGCTTCTTGTTGTGTCGTGTGATGTAAGGTATGCTTTGAAATGTTCGATAAGCTCGACAAATCCCTTCCATCGAGCGCAGAGCAAGAATCAATCGAACAACTGAAGAAAATACGAGTAAATCCTATGAATCCATTAAACCCCGACGTGCTTGAAAAGGCCATCACAAAGGTGATGTGGTTGAGCATGTCGGTCCTTTTGTTAACAAAGAAGTACGCGTAAAGGCCCACTTCAGAGAAACGCCTGGCTTGAAAACCCCGCAAACTTTCTTTTAAAAATACCAACATTCGAATAAGAAATACGCTATATTACTAAAATATGACTCAGGTTGTTGTCTTCCCATCAGTACTATTATATTATTGCGAGCGAGACATCGCCTGTGTCGTCTTGGTGTTCGGATTCATCCCTCAGAACGGATCTATCGAACAATGATTGCTCTTCCCCCAAGAGTGGTCACAGTTGCTTTGGTTTGCCCCTCCCTTGGCCCCACCTTCGGACGGCTACCAGAAGACAAGTGTCAGTGAGTGAGTGATTGACCGACTGGCATACTCATGAATATACCGCCTTTTGAAAAGAAAACTAGTCGATTAAACTTGAATCGATTCAATTCGGTTCCGTTCAATTCGGCTGGCTTTCAATTCAACGATTCGCTATCATCTACTCCAACCTTCGATCGTAAACAGATCCCGTTGTCACGGCAGTGGTTGATCGAGCGGTGAAATAATTCGTTGCGTTGCATTCCATGGAAGAAACCAGGGCCGGCGACCACAGGAATAGAGTTGAACCCTTTGGTCCACAAACACCGATTCGATCCAAAGGAACGCAACAGAGTACCACCGCATTAATTCGCTTTGGATTTCATTGAATATCGAGCATTCTTTCTTGGTCGTGTGCGAGACCACGCATGATCCTTAGTGCTCGATTCATTGCTTCACCCGTGATTTATATTGCGCCGTTGCCGATCGCAGCAGCAGCCACAGTGGTGCCCTTGTGCTGTACCATACTAATTCGCAATGAGCACGGCCTTTGTTGTGGCCGTCTTTTCTTCCGGTCCAGCACTGGTTGCTGGTGCTGCGCTGGCTTTGGCTGCTCTGCTTTTGGCCGCTTCCAGCCGGCGTTCGTAGTGCTCCCTAGGGTTGCTTTTTCCACCATCCGTGGCTTCCCTCCGGAGGATCCCCCACCCAATACCATCACTCTCGGTGACCACGGTCAGCGCATCGTCCCCCCCGGCCGCCAACGGGTAGATCCGCTTGGTCTCCTCGACCGAGTTTTGGGAGATGCCACAGTACCTTGCCAGAACTACCAGCGACTGCTTGGTGTTGATTTTGGACGAGGACGAATCGATGGTGGCCCTTCCATCGTACCAGGACGTGATGTTGCTGAGGTAATGATTCCCACGGACGTCCAGGGCCCGCAGATGGGGAAAGTGGCGGCCCATAAGGCCCAGCCAGGCGTTGTTGACCAGGTGCTGCTCGCAAAAGGGGATCCCGAGCGAGAGGAGCGTCTGGCACATGTTGCTGCTGCTGCTGCTTTCGTTGCTGTTTTCCGCGGGGGGAGCCGCAACGGCTTCACCTCCTTGGTCTTGCGAAAGAACCATCGCTTCCTCCTCCCCCACCGCAAATTTCTGCTCGACGCTGAGGATCGCTGCCTTCCACCCGGCAAAGGTCAGGCTGGGGGAAAAGCCGATCGAAAGGGCCCTCCACCCCCTAAGAGCAAAGAGTTCCGGAAGGAGATCGTCGGTCCACCCGCCCGAGGGTCCTATCCCGCTCGCGTGAAGCTCCACCAGCTTTGGCAAAGCCTGCGTCGTAAAGATGCCCCGGCCCCTGCGGATGGTTTTGACGGCCAGGCAATCTACGACGATCGCGGGGGAGATGTTGTAGTCCCCCCCCAGGTCGACCGCCTCCAGGTTGGGCGAGTGCTCGCACATGTGATGTACGGCCGCATCCGTCAACCGGCGGCAGTTCTTTACGGATAACCGGCGGAGCTGCAGGCCGGTGGCTCCCAGGAGCTTCGAAAGGGTGTCGTCGGTTAGCGTCTGGAGTCCCGTCAGGTCCAGGGCCGAGATGTGCGCGAGGATCCCCGAGTTGAGCAGGTTCTGGGTGGTCTCCCGGAGGACCTCGCAGTTGTACAAGCTGAGGGATCCGGTGGACTTGGGCAGGGCGGCCAGGATGCGGGCCCTGCGCCTGGCTTCCGCCAGGGCCTCGGCCTCCTTTTTCTTGCGGGCGGCCGCCGCAGCGGAGGCCCCTCCGGACCGCTTTCGCTTTTTCTTCTTGGGTATGGGGGCATCGAGGGGAGCGGGAGGAACCGCATTGGTGGGCGCGGCTTCGGTTTTGGATCGTTCGGCCGGGGCTTTCTGCGCCGACGCCTTGTAGCTAAGCTCGATGTTCGTCTTGAACTCGGCAAAGAAGCGGAGCCCCAACCGGCTGTCGTCCATGCGCCCAAGCTCCACCAGGGCATCGGCATAGCTCTGCAGCAGGTCCAGTGCACAGCATCCATTCTCGATCACGAGGGTTCGATCCCGAGGATTTGTGGGGATGAGATCGCTTACTTTTGGTGGTGGTTGTGGTTGTGGTTGTGGTTGTGGTTGATGTTTCTGTTGCTGTTGCTGTTCAAAGGCATTTGGGGTAGATGATTCGTCCGTCTCCGTCTGCACCATTTCGTCCGAGCGGCCACCATCGGTCGTGCTCGTGTGTTCGGGAAGATGCTGGTGCTGGTAGGCGGCGATCCAGGGATGGTTCAGATCGACGTCGTTGGCCTGCTTCCGCCTGCCCGATCCGATTCCGATGGCCGGTGTCCGTTTCATCGGGATGAGTTCGATGCTTGGAACTTCGGCCCTTGCTGTTTCGGATTGCTTCTTCGACTCCTCCGCCCGTTCAAGGTACTCCGAAATGGTTTCCCCGCACGCCAGCACGGGCCGGTGGTGGAAACTCCTGAGCAGACGGCTGGCTGTGCTGGGGGATCCGTCCTTGTTTGGGGCAAAGGTCTCGTCGGCCTTGCACCTAGCGTGGCCGATGGCCCGCAGCGCCAGAACAGAGAGGTTCGGGATCTCGCGGGGTCCCATTGCGAAGGTGGTATATTCCTATAGACGTGACTGCTGTTTTGCGCCAAGTGTGACAGTAGTGATGCTACGTCTGCGATAGGATTTCTTTGATACTTGTCAATCGCTTCAAGGAGTCGATGCACAAACTATGCCCTATCGTTGAATGTTAGCTTGGCAGTCTTCTTTCCAGATGAGAAGGAAAGCCGGTGGTTAGATACTTTGAAGTTGAAATCGACTTTATTAAACTGTAGTCGAGTCTACTCAGGTGCGATTCAACCTATGATTGGTTCTTGCCATGAGACATCACACACAGATATATGGGATTGATTTGATCCATTGGCAGCATCCTCCGCGGAGCATCAGGAGAAAAGTTTCGTGCTCTTATGCTCATTTCTCTCCCTGACTAACTTGCCGTACTTGTTTCCTGTTAACATTTACTATTAACAGTACTACTAATTTCCTACCGCGCTTCCACCTTGTTTTTCGGAAACTCAGTAGTCGTACGGATAAAGGCAAGACGGATACCGGTTGCACAACGCCTATGTTATGATAGATTATGATAGATATCGTACATATGATACAAATGAATGAAAGATAATCTCAAATCTCAATCATGCATAGTTTGCGCGCTCACGGACATATGCAAGACGCGATTAACATTCCTTCCAATTCCAATGACAAGAGAACACACGAATCGAATGAACCTCAAAACAAAAAATATTGTTCTTCCTTCTCGCACAATCGCCATAATCCTTCCGAGCAACCGTACGGCAGTACCAGTACATGTAGATTGCCGTGCTATTATCGAACAGAATTCTAACGGTTATCGAGTTCGACCATATTTAAATTCTTCGGCGACACGGAGCAAACTCCAATGGTTTGTATGCTCGTATACAAAACCGTAGGTAGCATAAATTTATTCCCGCCCGTGCGACCTCCGAGTCGTCCACAATTGTGTCTTGTACGGACACCAACGAATGCAATGCACGACATGGGTGATACTAGGCCGCAAACACGCGGGCCGGCCCGCGGGGCAGCTCGCAAAAACAGGACCACCACGGCATTTGGCGACCGTCTCCGTGTTCCGAGTGCATCCTACGGCATAGCATCGTATCGCACCGTAGAGATGGGTCCGTGCACCTTCGACCGATGAGACCTACCGCAGACAGAGGCATTGCATGTGAAAGCCTGCACGCACGCTTTTTTATTCGTTGTCGATCCTTACGGGTGCCGGTCGTCTGCTTTACTAGTATGTACACTACTGATGTGCGAGTAGGTGTACCCATACCCGCACCCGTACCAATAATCAGTCCTGACCGATCCTCCAAAACCAGCCACCATCGCGGAGCATTATCTCTCCTAGCATTACTATTATCATCATCATCTTCACCATAGGGAGTCGGGTCTTTTGTAGCGTAGTCGGTGTTCTCCTTTCCACATCAGCAACACAACAACATGCAATCTTCTATCTCTGTAAGTATACAAGAAAAGACGACTCGGCAGTGACAATGGCAAACAGCAAAGAAGCGGGCAACAGCAACAACGCAACAACAACGATGTCCTTTGGCACGAACGAACACGAGCGAAACCGAAAAAAGTATTCGATCGTACACCCAGTACTGATTTCTACGCGATTCCGGCGCAATATATATTTGTTTTATATGCATTGCTGTTTCCACCATGAAGGACACCGCACGGGATACCATCGCCACAAAACAAAAGCTTATGAACGCGCACATAGCGTAGAAGACACTGTTGCTTCCTTGTGCCCTTACGGGAACCCTGTGAAAGAAAGTAACCTGGGTTTCTTGTTCCACGGTAGCCAGAGCGCAAGACGAGCGGAGGAAATAGTCTTTGCCGGCAGGCAGACGATCATTGATGCACATCGATGGGCGCCTTGTTTCGATCCAAGCAAAGCCAATGTATAAAACGCACGGCACTATACTTTCATAGCGCACCGCGGAACAAATGAATCTGATTTTTGTTCGATCGGTATCGTTTCCGTTCTTCGCTGGTGATGGATTGGATTCCGATGCGTGTTCCTTGCCCTTGCCGGAAATGTGAACCAGACCTGTTGTCTCTGTTTAGCTACGTTTGATTTGGTGGTGTATGGTGTATCATCMCAAGAGATTGGCAGAATTGAATGAGTTGGCTGCCTTACATTCTGCCGAAGGATACCGTGGCTGGTGCCTCTTGTTCATTGGAACCCAAGCGAATAAAATCCCATAAAGTAGATGTTGCGTGCTGCTGCTTCCATTGTCCATTTCCAAACCATGACGGCTGTCGTTTTCGGTTTCTATTCGATTCGAAGGCTTCGATTTGTTAACTAACCAACAACGTTTTTTTCTGTCACACGCCCACTTCGTTTCATTCGCACTCTTCTTTTTACCTCGCAGAAATACAGAATCACCAAGCGCGTCGGCGGAGGGTCCTTCGGAGACATTTACCTTGGAGTGGGTGCCAATGGCGAAAAGGTAGCCGTAAAGTTTGAGAAGCACGGAGCACGATGCCCTCAGTTGCGTCACGAGTACAAAGTCTACCGCGAATTGCAGAACGCCCCAGGCTTTGCCAAGGTCCACTACTTTGGAACCCAGGATTCTTACAACCTCATGGTCATGGACCTCCTTGGACCCTCGCTCGAAGATCAATTTAACAAGTGCGGCCGTCGATTCTCTCTCAAGACCGTCCTCATGGTCGCCGATCAGATGCTCGAGCGCGTGGAGCTCATGCACTCGAGACACTTGATCCATCGCGATATCAAGCCAGCCAACTTTGTCACTGACGGAGGTCGTGGAAATGGAAACTTCATCTACTGCATCGATTTCGGTCTCTCGAAGCGATACCGGCACCCCCGCACCCTGCAACACATTCCCCAGCGAGAGGGACGATCGCTAACGGGTACTCCTCGTTACGCCTCGATCAACAATCACTTGGGAGTCGAACAGTCGCGTCGAGACGACCTCGAGTCGATTGGGTACGTGCTCGTCTACTTTTTGAAGGGAGGTCTCCCTTGGCAAGGACTCAAGGCTAAGTCAGCCACCAAGAAGTACAAGCTCATTATGGAAAAGAAACAGTCTATCACCATCCCCGCACTCTGCCAGGGATGTCCCTCTCAGTTTGCCGAATACCTGGCCTACTGCCGTTCTCTCAAGTTTGAAGCTAAGCCCAACATTGCCTACCTCCGGGGAATGTTCCGGGATTTGTTCCGCTCGCAGGGATACACCAACAATCACTCCTCGCTTGACTGGGACTGGAACCGACACGAATCAGGATCAGGCGACCGCCAGGACCAAGGCATGGAAGATGGCCGATATTAATCAAGGAAGGAGATTGAACGGAGGAACGAATAACTAACCATCGCTTTCGTCCAAAGGAAAAGGATGGTGGTTACTGGGAAAAACAAGAAAAAAACTCTAATTTAGCAGCAGCATGAACGAAATAGGCAGGAAGGAAAAGGAAGGTAAATGCGATCGAGCCTATTTGCTTTTTTCTGGATTGGTGTTGTTGCATAAGAAAAAAACAACGAATGTGGCTAGGTAGATGTGGCATGACAGCATGTTTGGAGCACGTGGAACAAATGGCCTGAAGTGGGATGGCAACCAAACCATGCGGTGCATATACTACTCGTATACCTTTGTGTCCGCGCTGTTTTGGTTCTCTATTATATGATACTGTGGTTGCTACCACCTACAAGTAACTACTTCTGAACGGGCTCCGAACTGCACACCACCGCATTCCACTAACCACAAACGTAACGAAGGAAACTATACAATTTTACTCGACCGCAAACCAACTACAACTTTATGGATTCGAAACGAAACTAATCGAACCGAAGTGAAACAAACACTCACAAAACTCACAAAAATAAAAAGTCACAAGTCACCAACAACAATATATATAACATGAAAAGAATAAGAAAAGATGAATACTAAAAAACATTATATAATAGGAGCGAGATGTCTCGTATTGAATAGAGCAGCTCACGGAACGAAGATATTACTCTATTTATTTTGTTGTCACTGAACCGCGCCTTACATTGCACAATAATTATACGCGATTACAAAGTGATTCTGCTGTATGCGTAGCATGAAGGACTAATGATACTGTATGTGACTATCGCATCGACTTTTTGTGGCGAATAGAACCGTCTCTTTTTTCTATGCAAGGCGAATCTATTCTAAGCATTCGCGACACGGAGTCGTGTTTGGATCGCTTTCAACATGATAGACAACCACCATTGTTTTGCAACAGGATTGTGCTTTTGTTGTCTTGATACAGTATGTGCATCTGCAAATCATCGCCTGTCTGTTCAACTGCGAACTGTCTTTGCCATAAATGCTTTGATAATTTTTCTCCAACCAACACCATCTCCGTCTTGGTTGAGCTCAATGTGTCAATCTTGTTTTTAGTTGATGATGCCTACAATGCATCTGATCCCATTGTCACATATAATCCTCCATGTCCTTTCATATCTGCATGTAATGTGTGTGCTCCATTGATATACAGGGAAGTTCCCTTTCCATCAGCACATAGTACTACTAGTGGAAGATGTGCAGTCTTCTGTAGGTATTTCATCCGATGCTGTACTAGCTTCTTATAATCATTTTTGTCAGGGTGTTTTACTCTCTTGCCTAGGAATGCTGTTCCCAGCTGTAGATCTGGTGGTCTGCCTCTTGACTGAGCCATACTAGTGTCTGTGTTGTCATTGAATGACACATATCAGTATGGCTTCGTGATATCTTTGTTGTGTCGTCTGGCTGGTATGTCTGAAACAAATGACTGAAGGCAGCTGTATCATTGTGCCCTATCATATCTAGTGGAAACTCATTAATCATCTTCTGGATGTTATCATACATTGTAATTTTAACTTCTCCATTCCCATCAAAGTGGGTTGTCATCCAGCATGATTGTTATTGGGTCCTCTTTTTCATATACTACTGATTCAAGAAATTTTATAAGCTGTGTCACAAACTTTGTGTCATTGTGGCTTATACTATCCATCCCATCCATGTGAAACACATTGGTGCATTGATGATCATTGATTGTTGTGTTTCAGCAGCATGGTTCATATGGATTCATTTCAAATCCCCAATCATACAGGTGTCCAATTAGCTTCTTGTATGACAATAGGGCTGCTGTTACTGTGCCATATATTGCCTTATCACACCTTGCTACGTATCATATCACTGGTCTATTTCTTTCAACTTGTGGGTGCCGTTTCCACTGCTTTTGGTCTACTTTAGCCAGTAGGAGTGCAAGAGGACCATCTAGCCTTAGTATTCGTCACAAAAAGTGATCGCGGGGTTTGGTCGCACCCCCATGCGCGTA